TGATTTCATTATCATTTTGCTCCAAAATACTACTAACTTCCCTTATGATTTTCTCTTATTTAGTTGCATGTTTTGTGTTTTGCAATCAGGTACAATTTAAAAATGCTGTCATTCTGTCATAAATGTCTAATTGTATCACTGGGCAATCAGAGATGATCTTAGGTGTGATATTGAGACTAGAATTTCTTGAGGCTTCTTTTTTAAAAAATTTTATTTATTTATTTATTTATTTATTTATTTATTTATATTTTTCCCGGTACCAGGAATCGAACTCACGACCTCACACTTGCCAGGCAGGCACTATGCTGCTGAGCTAAATCCCCAGCCCCTCTTGAGGCTTCTTTAATGACTTCTCTCCTGGCACTAGATATATGTGGCTCCATATTGGCTTGAAAGTTCTGGATTTGTCAATCATGTTCCTCAAATCTTTTGCATCTCTGCTCAGATTTTATCAATTTGACTACAGTTCCTGAGAGAGGTATATTTTAAATTCTTTAAGTGCAACTGCTGATTTATCTGCCTTTTCTTATTGGGTGTGTCAGTATTTCAGAACTGATGGGCTCTTATTCAAAACAACCTACCCTGTGTAACGTGTCCAGGATCCACCTGGCTCTGGGAAGACACTCTGTGTTTACGTGAAACTCAGGTTCTGTTTGAACTGTGATGCCTGCAGTAGGCTGTTTAGCTCTTTGTTTTCCTTTCGGTGGATGAGCTCTTCTGGTGCCTGTTTTTTATGTCAACTCATTATTCCTTGGCATGCAGCTCCACTGGCTGGTCACATGTATCTGGGTGGGTTAGCTCTCTGTTGCTGTGACAAAATGCCTGAAACAACTTAGGGGAGGAACAAGTGTTTGGCTTGTGGTTTTAGAAGTCTCAGTCCATGGTCACTTGGCCCTGCTGCCTTGGGCCTGGGGCAAGGCAGAGCATCATGGCAGGGAAAGCTGATGGGAGAAAGGCTGTTCATTTCATGGTGGGCTAGAAGCAAAGAGGAGGGGCCGGGGTCCCAGTGTCCTCTTTAGGGGCATGTCCCCAGTGACCTAATGTCCTCTCTCTGGGCCCTACCTCCTAAAGGTTCCAAGCTCGGCAACCAAGCTTTTAACACACAGGCCCTTAGGGGCATTTGAGATCCAAACTGTGATTCCATGGAAGGACCAAAAGCCTGGAATCTAGTCTCTATCTGAGCTGTGCACTGGAGTCACACGGGGAGCTTGGAAATGGTAGCGCCCTTGATGCTCCTGTAGATTCTAGTCTCATCAGTCTGGATGGGGTCTGGGTACAGAAGTCCCAGTGGCAGCTGAGGTTGAGAATCTTGTGCCCTCTCCTGAGGGCAAGGGTGTGCCTGGAGTGCGCCAGCCTCTGCCATCCTCTGCCTGTGTGCCCCCTCTGTCCCAAATCAGGAAAGCCAGACCCTCAGATCCCTGCAAGACCTTGGCCCCGGCACTGGCATTCCCAAGGGGAGTCTCTGGTAGCATCTTTCTGGGGAGGAGGAGGCAGAGCTCAGGGCCCAGCCCAGCCCAGCCACCCCAGAGGCTCCAGCTGATGCCCCCTCCCCGAGGCTGCTGCCTTTCTCACACCCGGGGAGAGGTCAGAATGACCCAGCCATGGCACTGTGGGGGAGACGAGCGGACACGGCCACAGCACGAGTTCGCTCGCCCGCCATCTGAGGTGTCATCAGAGGTTTCAGTCCAGGTTCGCTTGGCCCTGTTGCTTCGTAGCTGTGGTGAGATGCACAGCATGGCGGGCGTCAGGTCAGAGGAGGCCCCTTCCCTTCATGGCAGCCCGGGAGCAAACGCAGAGGAGGGCCCTGGGAGCCCCCAGTGACCGCATTCCCCCAACGGTATCCCACTTCCTAAAGGTTCCAAACCCAACAGTGCCTTTCAGCCTTGCCTGCTGCTGGCTTCTGGTCCCTGGGACCCAAACGAGCCCCTTGTAGCTGTAGTGTTGGGTCCTGTGAGCCACTGGCCCCCTTTCCCATTTTTTTGGCCTCCCCAGAGCTGGATTCTAGGCTGGGAACAAGCAGCCCATGGCAGATCACCTCCTGTCTCACCAGCACCACCGTGGCCTGGCCAGCTTGGAGCCAGGCCTTGTTTGGGAGACCCATTGGAGGCCTGGCTCTCACACCAGGTCTCTGGTATCTTTGATTCCACATCAGGACTTGCCCGGTGCTGGATGTCATGGCCCCCGACCTCCCAGCCTCCATTTGTCTGCCCCACCTGTGCCAAGGGAGTCATTCAGAGTCTTTGCTGCTGCCTGCCATTCTCTAGGCTGGGGGCTCTGAATACCTATGTGGCGGGCGCCTGATGATAAATGGACACAGGCACCTCTGCCAGCAGCAGAGAACTGAATGAGAGAGTCAGGTGGCTGCAGTCCAGGGACACGTGGTACCCTGTGTTCAAGGGATGGGGGGAAGCATCATCTTGCCTCTAAAGGGTCAACATAGTTATCACAGAAGAGGTGCAGAAGCTGGAGGGGGGAACAGAAGTTCACTGGGCAGGAAAGGGGGGGGAAGTATTCTAGGCAGAGGGAGTGGCATAAGCAAATGTAAGGAGGGACACAAAGCCATGGGCCTGGGGAGCCACAGGGGATTTAGAACCAGGAAGGAGGGCTCCCGAGTCCTGAAGGACTCCAGCTCTGCTCTTAGGCTGAGGGGTGCGGAGGCAGTGAAGGGGAAGTTGGGTTAAAGACACACGCAGGGGAGAGAGCTGTGCAGCTGTAAGTGGGGCGGCCCCAGGTGGCTCCAGGTGCGGGACGGGTGATTGGGGGTGATGATGGGGCTGTTCCGAGGCAAGGGATGAGGAGGAGCAGTTCAAGATTCCAGTAAGAGGGTGCATTCAATTCTGCGTGGGCTAGGGTCATGTGCTTTCGGGGTACCCAGATGGAGACCTGTGCAGGTAACTCCTGGAATGACATGGCTGGAGCTCGGAGAGGCCCTTGAAAGAGCAAATCAAGGAGAGGAGGGCTGGGGATTTAGCTCAGCAGCACAGCGCCTGCCTGGCAAGCGCAAGGTCATGAGTTCAATTCCCAGTACCGGAAAAAAAACAAAAACAAACAAACAAAAAAATAAATAGAAAACACAGTCATAATCAAGTTAACAATGGTCCTACAGGCCGAAGCTTACTTTGGCAGGGGATATAGCTCAGTGGCACAAGTGCCTGCCTGCCAGTGCAAGGTCCTGAGTTCGATTCCCCATACCAAAAAAAAAAAAAAAATTCCCACTGGGGATACAGC